TGTAAAGTTCTTTTGAGGAAGATCTATAGATATTCCTTGATTTGCAATGGGGCTTAGGGTTACATCAGGATAAAGTGTTATGCACTGAAAATATCTTAAGACAACAATGCACTTAATGTACTTAATCTACTGACACCAAATCATAGCCCAGCTCACCTTAAACAGATTCCTGGTTCTTGCCTTAACCTACAAGGACTCATCACCTTCCTAGTCATCAAAGAAAAGAAATACAATAGCTGTTTTGTAGACATGATGGGATGAGAAAATATGAAACACAATATTGGAAAAACACTGGCAGGTCAGTGCATTGATGGCTTAGTGTTGCTGTCCACATTATTGGAGCACTGTACCGTATACCACTGCCCAAGAAAAGATCAAAATCAAAAATGCAAAGTATAATTTCTAGAGAATGCATATCACTTTTGTCTCACAATAAAGCCAAATAATCATAAATCAAGCTATGGTAAATCAGAACTGTTCACAGTCTTTCATGACAACAGTTCCTCTCTGTCCCTGGTGAATAGCATACCTGGGTGTAGAGTTATTACAGTCCTGGGTGAAACAGTTACAGAGAGGTGTTCTTGGTGCTATAGTGAGAATCTGTGTTGGGCAGAGTTCAAGATCTGATCTGTTATTCATATAATTTGATAACTCTGAATCATTATTTTTTTAAAGTCCTTCAGTGAAATCACTTTCCCGAGGTCAGTTCTTAATTTCAACACTCACAGTAACTGTCTTAGCAAATTAATAACTAAATTTTACCAATTCTGCTTCATGTTTTTCAGATCTGTCTCCTTTCTATTCCTGTTGTTTCGCTTAACCTTTTTTAGTTTTCATTTTCAACTAGCTCCTTTTGTTGCTCCAATCTGGCTTCACCCATTCTCTATACTGCTGCCAAACTAATTGTTCTAAAAATAAAAACCAATCTTACACTATTTCACACTTCCCCTTGCTATCTGTTTTCTGAAATGATCTCCTAAATATGCACATAAATAGATAACTTTATAATGAATATCTGTACAATATATGCAATGCCTATATATATATATATTACACATACACATGTATAGATGCTTAAATACAGGTTTTCCCCCTTTATCCAAAGGTAAAACATTCCTATTTGGTATGATTTGCTAGATGATTTTTTTATATGCAAAAGTATGTGTTCATTATAGAAAGGGATAGGAAGTTGAGGACGCTGGCACAGATATGAGCAGGTAGAAAGAGCTGCCCCTGTGAGGGGCAGGTTTGATAAAATGAGGTCTACGTAGTCACAGAGGGCAGGAGAGTTGCTGTCCATTACCGTTAATTTAAATGGAGAAAGTTTCAGACATTCCCAGATGCAAGCAGTACCCTACCAAATCAACTCTAAACTCCAGAACCATGCATGGAAGCTGTGCTTGCTGCCTGTAAGCTGTCCACCACAGTAAGGACCCTGCCCATCCCCTCACCAGAGTCTAGGCATCACAGTGAAATGACTCCATTCCAACTGTGATGTCCTTGTCTTACACTTATAAGTACTAGTAAATGTGCATAGAATTAGTAGAGAAGAGCATTTTAATAATCAGACAGTAGGTGCATCTTTTCTGTACCTTAAAAAAGACAAAGCAGGGGCCCTCCCTGGTGGCGCAGTGGGTTAAAGCACAGCACTAAGAAGCTAAAGCCACTTCTGCATGAGTTCGATTCCCACCTGCCCCAGAGGTGACCACATGGGCAGACCTGTCCTGACCCGCCCGCTGCTTCCCTCAGCAGTGTACTTCGTCGATCTGCCTGTTCTGCTCCCCACTCTGTCTCTGGTGAAGCCTCTCGCTGCCCCTGAGCCTCTGGCCTGTACCCCAGTTCTGTATGTACAAATAAATAAATCTTAAAAAAAAAAAAAGGCAAAGCAGTAGAACTTGGGTTGAAGAGAGAGAAACCTTTGAGATTCTCTTTTGAAAATTCAGTTTTTACAGCTACCAAATGGGGGTAAGATATTTACTACTCAAGTGTATAATGAGTATTAACATGACAATAAGAATATGTGACCTGAAATTCAGTAAACAGCTCTATTAATATTAGCTATTTTTTTTTTCATCCTAAATGTGGTATACTAACCTGTCAACTTTATCTCACTAGCACCAGTGCGAGCTCCTGAAATCTCCCTGGAGATTATACCCTTTGGTTCTTGAAAGTTTTCACTCAGTTCCTTGCTCTAGGCAGTTGCTGATTGTACAAATACCTTTAGGAATATAAAAAATTATTTTAAAAATATTATTTTATGCATACAAGAACTGGGTGTGGCAGGTGAGAGTATTTACCAGAGTGAGTGGGGGAGCAGAACAGGCCAATTTACTGAAATACACTGCTGAGGGGAGCAGCAGGCAAGACAGGAGAGATCTGCTGAGCCATGTGGGTCACTCCCATGTGGATCAAACTCAGGTGGCAGTGGTTGGAGATTGCTTGATAGTGCTGAAACTTTAACCCCTACCCCACCAGAGAGGTCCTATTGCCAAACTTTCTTTCTTATGCATACAGACCTGGGGTACAGGCCAGAGGTGCAGGGGCAATAAGAGGATCACCAGAGACAGAGTGGGGAGCAGAACAGGCCAACTGATGAAGTACACTGCTGAGGGGAGCAGCGGGCGGGTCAGGAGAGGTCTGCCGTGCCATGTGGTCACCTCCGGGGCAGGGATCCAACTCATACTGAAGTGGCTTTAGCTTCTTAGTGCTGTGCTTTAACACGCAGTGCCACCAGGGAGGGCCCACATTCTTACTGGGATATTTCTGGATTCCTGAGGTCACCATTGTATTAAAAAAAAAAACAATAACAAAACAATTATTTAAAAAAAGAATTTTACATTACAGTTGGATTTTTTTTTTTTACATAAAAACTGTATCATGGAACCACAGGTGCATGTGAGGGAAGAATAACATTCTCAATAACTTAGCAAATATATACATATATGCACATGTATTTTATTTTATGTACGACATGTACTAAATGTGCACATTGATGCTATTACTCCCATGTGGTTATTGGACTTTTGCGACTTTGGAGAAGTACTCATTTGGGGTGGCAAGTGTGGGAAGGAAAGACAATAGCTGGTGGTAAAGGGATCTTAGAGCCTGGAGGCGGCCAGAACTTCCGCCTCCTGTGCCATTGTCGCAGGGCCAGGCTTCAGCTTGTGCAACACCTTGGTAAACACTTCCTGAAGCACAGACAAGAATGAGCCTGGGCGTTGCATTGGTTTCACTCGAGTGCAAGCAGGGACAGTCAGGGCGGTGTGTGTCTGAGGAGAAGGACAGACACAGCTCCTGCACGGCCAGCATGTGTCCAGGGCTGCTTCTGATGGCTGCTCTCCTTCTGCTTCCAGGTAGGGGCTTAGCTCCTTTTCAGTTTCTGCTAAACAGGCTGGGGAACTGCTCTTTTCCATCTTCTGCTGGTAATTTTTTTTCTTTTTTTTCTGAACCAGTTTTAGTAACCAGTTGGTCGGATTTTTATCTATTGGTTTGGGACCTGTGACTGATGGTATAGCATTCAAGTCAAAGGAGAGGCCAGGACAGATTTTCAATTCGTGTTTATATGAATGATCTTGAGCATATATAGGAATCAAAGGGAAGATTTCATGCAGTTTAGTGCAAATCATGAATGTGAATCATGTCCAAAGGTGGGATACATCAAAATCCATGAAATTTTGAGAGCAGTTAAAATGCAGCACACTTGACTAACCTTTTTGTCAGAGGAAGATTTGGGGCATATCTGTTAATATATTGGGGCCAGTTGGCCTTTTTCTATTCCTTCTGAGTGTACATGTCCCTATTTAGTTCTCTACTTGTGATAATAAATGTGATATTTAGAAATAGTTGATAAGTTTCATTTTTCTGGAGCATTGTGATATTTGATTAAAAGTAGCAATGCATTTTCATTGGCAAATTCACTTTCATTTTGCTGGTTCTAACAAACATGTAAGAATTCAATAGGCGGGAATGCTAGTTCCTAATAATGAATAACATTTCCCCACCTGATAAATTCTTTGATAAGATTTGATTTGTTTCTTCTTTATATTTCTAATCAAAACATTAGCATCAGTGTTTGAGAATTCTTCTCTGATCAACCTTTTCTTGGGCTTAAAATTCCTTTGGGACCTCGGAATGGAAAAAGACTATCAACAAAAAGTATGGAGTAGGGAGTGAAGGATTCTTGTCCCCCCTGTTACTCACATCACTCTTAGTCATGAAAACAGATTTTCTGTCCACCTGCATTTGATTTATTTTACAGTCTTGTACAAGTTTGGCTTAATGTCTTCATATATAGAATTGTGCTCCACATTGAAGTTATTGATTTTAAAATTTCCACTTTTGATTTTTTTTTACTTTTGTTAGTAAAAAAACACTGTTTCATATTAGAAAACCTGCTAATATAAATCTGCTACATCAAACATGAGATAAAGATATGACCCTGCTGAGAGAAATGACAATGCATATGACTAAATTCAATATCCATTGAGAAAGGCTCAAGTAGTGTGAAGAAAATGGGTTATTATTTAACATACTAAAGATGATCTGGACAGGACCGATACACAGTAGCCTCTAGGTTAAACAATGGCTTATATTACATTTGATGATGACACAAAGATTGGCAATAAATTGAAACAAGATATGAATACCATTTTGACAACTATTGCTACTATTATTTTTACTTTATTTAAAATTGCCATTTACTTTTTAAAAATTCATTTTTTTATTGAGGCGACATTGGTTTACAACACTGTATGTGAACTTTCAATTCAAATAACAGACACCATTTTTGCCTCCATTCTCCAAACACACTGACACCACAGGCTCTCTGGCATCCTCCTCCTGGTTAGCAGGTAGAGCTGCTCATGCTCTCATGTTACCCAACTCAAGAGTAATCCCGATTCCTGAGCAGACTCACATTACAGCCTTTTCCGTAGAGTTGGACAACTACCAACTGCTATGTATTCACATCAGGCATTCAGAGAGATGAGTACTTCGAATCGATGTCTGAAAGTGTGGCCTCCCAAGTACCTGGTGATAGCAAGAGGGATTCTGAAGTGGCTGCTGAGAGCCTAGAGGAAATGAAGAGTTTCCATCTTGAACAGAGAGCTGCCCCTTCTTAGTTTCCAACTTGTGTTTTCTGGAATCTCTCATTCACCGAAATACCCCTGTTATTATTCCCAGCTGTATTTATTTCCATCCAGAATATAATAAGTAAGCAATTTCCCTTAACTCTTCTGTGTTTGATTTTCTGTCCCATCATGCATAGAATGAAATACATCTATCCTCAGACCAAAACCTTTGCCCTGTTGCCATAAATGTGAAGTTAAAGAAAAGTGGTAAAGTCAGGCTAATTATTGCAGTGACCTTCATATTATCTTGAGAAAAGTGGCTATAATTATAGGAAAAGAAAAAAAAAACTTCAATTATTAAAAAGATACGATAGGTCTTTGCGCTGGCAGAAGGGAAAAATACTTCCTATATCCAGGGGGGTACAGAATTTTCTGAAATTATTTTTTGTTAAATTAGTACCTTTCCTTGACTTCAAGTGCTGACTGAAACATCCTATAGAGTTTCTACAATTTAATCACAATAGCCAAAATTATAGACTTAGTGTGTTCTTTCTTAAGTATTTATAATTTTTGCTACATATAAAGTAAGTTATTTTGTGAGATACAGAGAAATACAGAATTCAAGTTGGTGTCTCTACATAGACACTCAATCATGAATGTCATTATGTGTTCACTCTGGAAAGATAGTGCTTTAAACACTTTTGAAAAGGTTTGAACAAAAATGAAAAGGTCAATATTACGTACAAAATTTAACTCCAAAATAATCCCAAGCACATTAAAATATGAAGTAGCCACTGAGAATTAAGCTTAAGAACAAGCTTTGATCTTTCTAAAATTAATAAACAGTAAAAAATTATCTATCCAAAACCATAATAACAGTTTTCATTTCTTAATTCAGTTTTGCTGCTCAAAAATCTGTAACTTGTGAGTTCTGTGGGAGAAAGAGAGAATTAAAATGAATTAGTAGCAACATATTGTGTTACATCTCAGGTTTGAATAATCCCTGGATGGCAGTTAGTTGTGTTTGTTGCACAGGCTTCAATATAATTAACCTGATGTTATTCCCCTGGGAAGAAGCTGCCTCTTCTCCATCAAATCCAAGGATGAGAGAGACAAACATTATCTAGGTATGATGCATCTCTTATTTGTAATTTGTAGATCTCAGATCTCATTATTCAAAGGCCTTCTTGGCTTCAGAAAAATAAGAGCCTTGAAGGAAAATGTACTTCTTTGCAGAAGTTTAAGAAGAGCTGGAAATTCATTTCAAAATAAAGCAAGAAGTTGCTGTAGGGTTTAAAAAATATATTACAGTTAATTTTATTGATTGCCATTTAGAAGTGCTTTGCCATCAAATGGCATTGGAAATAAGTTTTTCACTAATTTAAATTTTTCAATTCCCTATTTAAGATTAAATTGATAATTTTTGAGTTGAATAAATAATAAAATTCAGAGACCAACTAGACCCATGGTAGGTATAAATTAGAAATGTGTATGTCAGAGATTTGGGTTGGGTGGATTAGCTTGGTTCCTTCTCATCACTTCTGAGTGGAGAGTGTGTGTTTCCACCCTCTATTTTTGTAAAAAGGATCAGTTGTATACCTATTATTACATGAATCAAGGACTACCCAGGCTCTCAGAAAAATGTGTGCTAAAGGAAAGCATCATTTTCATACAGCATTTTTGAAAGAGTTGTTCTGGCTGCTGCATTGGTGAATAGATGGTTTCATGAGCTCCCTATTAATAGGATTAATTGCACTGATTGAAGACAATTTACCAGACAGCATGTGGGTGCCTTATGGTATTTTTCTTTGGTGTCATGGAGTTAAGGAGGCTTCAGGGAATTGTGTTGATACCATCAGTTAATTTGTGGCAAGAGTAATTTTCTTACTTCCTGGCATCTTATTTTGAAATAATTATTAAAATTGTAATGATTGGTTTAATGTTCCTTTAGGCTTTTCAACTTCTGTTATCAAAAATTTTTATAAGTAGGCTATTATTTTTCTTTACCAAAAAGTAAATAGAAATAAAATGCCCAGTGATGATATCTATAACTATAAGGGACGAGTGTGGTGATACAGTTCTTCACGGGTGACTGTGGAAGTAAAGTTTTTTCATCACAGTTGGTTAGGACTTTATCCAAATGATTATTGGCCCTTCAAAGAGGTAATAGAGGATTGTGTATTTATTCACATAAAGCCCTAGAATAGTTGAACTGGCTCAGGAGTACATTGCCCCCTCTTTTTTAAAAAAATTTTTTTTCAAAAAAATTCAAACTAAACCCAAAGTGAAGATGTCCTGAAGTTGAAAACCATGACTTTAAGTGTTCTGGGGATGCTTTTAAGAGAAAATCTCAAGCTACTAGAACCAAAGTTGTTTCCTCTTTCTATACTCCAATTTTGACTCACCAAATTTTTAACCAGTTTAATCACTTTTTTATTTTTTTCAAAGTTAGATGTGTTAAGTGGCTAAATGAATTAAAGTCATCTCAAAATGATAAGAAAAGGAGATCATCTGAAATTTTAGGCCATTTCTGCTTTACTTTATAATTTTTTTTAAAATTATAATTCTGCTTTACTTTATAATTCTTTAAAATTATAACTCTTTATAATTCCTCTCAGTATCCTTAAGAGTATGGTCATCCAAGGTGACTGTCAAATAATCCTCAGGTTTATTTGTTAAAAATCAACTTCAGTGTCATTGTGTATATTAACAAGAGGATTTAGGTTTGACTACTTTAATTATCTAGGATTATCCTTAGAGCACCTTCTCTTCATTACACAGGCAAATAAAGCCTTTCCAATCATGGTATTAGTAAGTTGTTGGGTTGGCCCACACTCCAAGCTTGGGCCCCCTGCGTCTGCATTCTGGATGGAGTTACAGCCTTCCAGCAGCCACAGGGCAGTCTGTTGACTTGTCATCATGCACTTCTTTGAACAGAGACTAGATCATGTAACCAAAAGAAAAAAAGCAGTCCAGTGTCAGCTTTGGAAATCTCTGAATTTCTCATAAAAATACTTCCAGAAATATTGTTGAGATGCAAATTCAAGATATGGGAAAAAAGGTTCAATGAGGCAATTTACCAATTCTATTTCAATACCATGTATGCTCAAAGAAATTCTGTGCCAGTGGTAGTGTTCTCATTGTCTGCTTGACTGATTTTCATGTTATGCATCACAAAGGTTTATCTGTATTGCAAAAGCCAGTTTATTTTTATTCTGTAGAACAGGTATGAGAGTTTCTTTCACCAGTGTAAAGCATTGCTGCTAGAAATTTGAAGATAAGCATATTAAAATCAGAAATTTTCTAACACTGTAGTTTTCAGACTGCTCCAACTCAGTTACTCTAGTTCTGAGTAACTTAATATGTGGTTAGTTTAGCTTCCATCTTCTTTCCATTTTGCCTGCTCTGTCTGCTACATTTCACTAATTTGTCTTAAGGGAAGTCAAGATGGCAAAAAATGAAAAACCACGTTTTTTCTCAAATAGACAAATAAGTGAAGGAGGCATAACATGAAAAGACGTGTGATTATAAAAAAGTACATAGACAAATCAGAATTTTCAGCAGGGAATTCTTTGAAGGTATATGCTAAATTAGAGATCTGAGAGGATCTCAGTCAGTCTCTTTTGGTCTTCACACCTTACTAATTCTCTGCAAAACTCAGTTAAAGCCTCTGACGGAGGCAGCCTGCATCATAAATGCAATAAGGTGACCATTATCAAACAGCTTATCTTAGTTCTGCTTAGTTCAATATTTTTTTTCCCCCTCAGTTAATTCTGTGAAGGAACTTTCTGGACTAAGGAATTATGAAGTGGTTTACCCTCGAAGACTTCATCCACTGCATAAAAGAGAAGCGAAGGACCCAGATCGAACGGTAGGACGTCAATTTAACAAAGAATTTATACACAATATAGAAATATATTCTAGCTGTACATACATATATCTACACTTATATGTATGATTTGTTTGTTTTTGACCTATCTTTGGTAATCTTCACAATAACCCAGTGCTCTATTATTATCCTCATTTTTCAAGTTAAGTTTCTGGCAGTTGAAATAAATAGTATAAGGACACACAGAGTAAATTTTAATATCTTTATGGAAATTTATGATTTATTCCAGGAAGTTCCACAAAAATGAATGTATTTTATCAACATATCCATCCATACAAAGCTATGAACATAAAAATCAGAGAAAGATAAATTATTATTGATGAATTCATGCACACAATATATGAAACTTACATCTGCCCTTTCTAACTTGGTTATTAAAATTTGCATTGTTCTTACACCTAATGAACCTATATATTCTTAGTCAGAATTCACTCAACAGACATTTATTGTAAAAGAAAAGTTAAAACATGATGATTCATTCAATAACAATTTTCTAATTACTTATGCCCAAAAGTCTTCTGCTGGGAGCCAGGAATATACAGATAAATGAGACATAAATAATTGCTTACAGAAATAAGTTAACTCACTGGAGGGCCCGATGCTCCACTGAACAAGATTTTACTTAGATATTTCTTCCAAGGGAAATGGCATTTATAACAACATCACCTATAGTAAACTTTGTTTCCCGAAATAATTACCTCCAACAAAAGGTTAATACCAACTGATACCCACATACATTCATATTCCCATCCAGATAACTGCCTTTAACTGCTCTCAGGTCGTCTTTTAAAAATGTCATAATGTACTTATTCACCAAATATTTTGAAGAAAAGTCAAATACAGGTCTAGAGTTTCTAATCACAGCTGTAAAAGGCAAATTTAACTTTTGACTATTTTAATGACAATCCATCTTATGTTTTCTCAATTCATAGTTGAAAATATAAAAGGTCTAAATTGAGAGTCCTTGTTTGTGCTCAGGTCTTAGTTTTGCTAATTCTTTATTAATTTTAATATACACAAGTTTCGATTTCATTCTATATGGCTGTATTATGATATCATATATAAACAGCAGGATGCTATTATTCACTATTTGTTCAAAATTATAGTAGGAGCTGTCCTGTGTAACTCCTCATCCACTTCATGTGACTCACCTTTCAGGATCCTTGTACTTAATGCTGTGGATTATTAAATCATTTTGTTTTCTTTCTATTTCTTTATATAACTTGCTTTGCAGTCCTGGTATTCTGAAGGCATTCCTCTATAATGTGCTCATTGCTGGCTCAACAAGGCCTTTCACGTGGAATGTTGTCTCTGTAAATAAAACTCAGTCTATATTATATTCCTTGTAAAGTCAGTGGAATATTCCTGTATATTCCTGAACTCATGCTTCAGCTTTGATCAGTATTATCCCACTTGGCTCTTGATTTTTTTAATACTGCTTTTATATCTGTGTGTGAGTGTGAATGAATGCTTGTACTCTCTCTTTTGGTTTGAAACTGCCCTGATCAATAAAATAAGTGTTTTATTTATTTTTGTACATCTGTTTCATTTTCACGCTTATCTCCTAACCCCTGTTCTATGAAAAACATTCTGTAAATGCTCTGTGATCTCACTGATTCAAAGTGGTTCTTACAAATCACCTCAGTTTTATCTTTTATGAGAGATAAAATGTTGAATACAATCTCACAAGACATCTAAGGAAAATTTGCCTAATTTGAATGCTTTAATATTTCTTTACATGATGAAACCTGGGTTTATTTTTATGGTTTTGGTTTTATCTAGTATACTTGAGTTTCTCCTTGTCCCTTCAGAGTAGAAGATGCCACATCTTTGGACAGGATGGTAGAACCAGATAGCCCTAAGTGCTGCTTACGTACCATCTCACACACACATTACATTCAGTCATGTTTACATTTTAGTACTTAAGTGACACTGATGTTCTCAGGTGCTGGTTGATGCCTTTGAATATGTTCTCACAGTCACTAAGTGATTGAACCATGAAAAGTAACTCCTGGCTAACGAAACATTCAAAAAGAAGTCATCTGTTTTTCCCAGAGTGGGCCTGTGCTCTGGAACCTCATTCCCAGCTCCTGGTTGGTCACTCATGTCTAGTTCATGTATTTTCTTACATCTGATGTGCTCGCTACCTTCCATAGAATCACCAGAGTTCACAAATCAAAATCACAGTCTACCCAGAAAGCTTGATTATCATAAACAGTAAATGCTTTTTGAACTTAAATATTCTTCAGTATTGTATAGATCTTTCTTATGCTATTAAAAATATGCATTATTTATGTATACAACATTCAAATTTAACAGGCATCTTTTATTTTGCTAGAATATCCTACCATTGAGCTTTAATGAATGTTCAGAACTAATCTCTGGCAGTGTCTATGTGACTCTAGCCCCTGTGCCATCTGCAAATACCAGGCCCATTCTTGTCCCCCACAGCCCCATGCCTGACATATAAGTCCTGCCCAATCAGTTACCGATCCCTCTATATCACACTTGTGTTGCACACAGAGACTACAGAAGCCAGTGAAATCCTTGCCCCCCACTCAGCACACACATCCTATCCCCTGACATAGAATCTATTTATTTTGTTCAGGCACAGCTGATGACTAGTAAGAGCATATAAGCTAAATAATTGGGAATTATCCTTGTGGTTTCTGTGTTGAGACTGTTGATTTTCCTTGTGCAGGGACTTGACTAACAATTACTCATAAAACCCAGAACTCATAATGGTCTGAGCACAGGGATTTCTGTGTTCCATGCTTGCTGCACAGGGCGCTTCTCAGTGCAATGAAGAGGACTCTTGTTCTCGTTGCCCTGCCCTCTACTGGGCCAGAGAAGTGAAACACCAGCCCTGCCAATGAGCTGAGCCAGCACCTTCATCACCCAGAGTCCCATTGCTTAAAGGAGGTCTAGAGTGAGATAATCTTTCACAAAAACCTTCTAACAGGAGCATTAAAGACAAAAGTACCAAAAGTATTTTATTCATGGCTGTATTTTATATGCATGCCATAAGGGGAACTGAATATTTTTTTTTAAATAAGCAAATATATGAACAAATGAGTGACTAGCCCTCAAACTGCCAGGCACTGTATTACTTTTATTGTAATAAACTGCCAGGCCCTATATTACTGTTATGCATCTTTCCACAAGATTACAAGCTTTCTGAATGCAGGTGCCTTTTTTTCTCTCAGAATTGAATTTTTAGAACCTGTCAGTCTTGCATATAACCCGCACTTTGTCCAGCAGATGGATAGATGAATGAGTGGATGGATGTATGGACATGAAGGCCTCAGATAATTTGTTGGCAGCTTTGGTTGATCTCCCAAAGGAGGCAGAGATACATATTTGCTATTATATAGGTGGATACTAAAGAAAAGCAAGAAATACTCACCAACAATAAAACAGATGGATTTAGACAAGTGAATATTTTTGTATGTTTTTAATTACCGGTATATATATCTATTGCAGGAAAAATATGAAACTGAATTGAAGTATCAAATGACAGTAAATGGTAAAATTGCAGTGCTTTACTTGAAAAAAATCAAGTAAGTCTTTTTACTTCTGTTATTATCCTCATCAGTAGTAAGTTAGCAGGTAGAAAGTGTGCTAATTGAGTAATTGAGTCTGTAACTGTTTATGGCTTTTACCAATCTTGGCTAATATGTTTTTGCTCTTAATACAGTTAAGGGGTTCAGTAACTATTTGTTCCTACATACATAGTAGAAACACACTGGATGAAACAAAAGTTTATTGCTGTTTTTATTCTAGTGATGAAACACAAGCAGACATGTATTTGGTCAAATTCTATGAAATATCAGAAATAGATCTCAGTATACTTTGCTGTGATTTTTAAATCTACCCCTAGAGTTTTAGACTCTATAATTCAACAGTGAAAATTATATTTTAAAATCATTTGCAATTCAGAAAAAGAAAAACATGTAAGTTAAATAAACAAGTTAATATTTACTGGGCTCTCTTAATTCCATTCTCCAGGCTTATTCTATCCAACTATCCACTAATTGTCCATTTTTTCTGTTAATTGCCTTCACTCTGCATTCAGTTCATACAAATTAAACCATTCTTCATAAACTTCTAATCAGTTCTATCCCAGACCTTGGTCATCCTATATCTAGATGGTTTCCAAAGTAATTTTTCAAATTAT